GCGCGCCTCTCGGCAGCGCGCCCACGCGGGCATCGAGAGGAGAGCCTAAAAAGGTTTTTGGGCGTCTTCGGTTGTCCTCGCCAGTTTCCCTTTCTCGGGGTGCGCTCCCGGGCCCTTGCCTCGCCGAGGGCGTTCCGGGGGTGCGCGGGCCGTCCCGAACGGACGCCTGAGAGCTGAGCTTAAGTCGGGCACCTCCCTCTACAGGAGGCAGCTTGAACAATTGCGAAAACATAGGCGTGGGACGATTGTTCAATGATTTTTCCATTATTTTCCAGATTTTTTTTCCCAACCATCCTGTGGTGTTGGGTCCTCGTTTTGCAGAGACTGTGCCCCGCGTTCCTTCTTCCTCCTTCTCCTCGCCCTCCTCCCTCCTGCGTTCGCATGCCTCCCCACCACCGATTTCGGCACACCCCTCACACGTTTCGTGGCCCCATAGGCAGCTCCACCGAAGGCCCCAGTGGCTGCGTTCGCATGCCTCCCCACCACCCATTTCGGCACACCCCTCACACGTTTCGTGGCCCCATAGGGAGCTCCACCGAAGGCCCCAGTGGCTGCGTTCGCATGCCTCCCCGCCACCCATTTCGGCACACCCCTCACACGTTTCGTGGCCCCATAGGGAGCTCCACCGAAGGCCCCAGTGGCTGCGTTCGCATGCCTCCCCACCACCCATTTCGGCACACCCCTCACACGTTTCGTGGCCCCATAGGGAGCTCCACCGAAGGCCTTAGTGGCAGGGTTCGCATGCCTCCCCCCACCATTTCCGGCACACCCCTCACACGTTTCTGGCCCCTAGGGAGCTCACCGAAGCCCCCATGGCTGCGTTCGCATGCCTCCCCACCACCCATTTCGGCGGCACACCCCTCACACGTTTCGTGGCCCCATAGGGAGCTCCACCGAAGGCCCCAGTGGCTGCGCCCGCATGCCTCCACCACCCATTTCGGCACACCCCTCACACGTTTCGTGGCCCCATAGGGAGCTCCACCGAAGGCCCCATTGGCAGGGTTCGCATGCCTCCCCACCACCCATTTCGGCACACCCCTCACACGTTTCGTGGCCCCATAGGGAGCTCCACCGAAGGCCCCAGTGGCAGAGTTCCGCATGCTCCCCGTCCCTCATTGTCGGCGGCACCCACCGTTCAGCACTTTCGTGTCCCCATAGGAGGCTCCCCGAAGTCCCCAGTGGGGCTGCGTTCTCATGCCTTTCCACCACTATTTCGGCTCACCCCCCTCACACGTTTTTCGTGGCCCAATAGGGGGCTCCACCGAAGGCCCCAGTGGCAAGGTTCGCATGCCTCCCCACCACCCATCTCGGCACACCCCTCACACGTTTCGTGGCCCCATAGGGAGCTCCACCGAAGGCCCCAGTGGCAGGGTTCGCATGCCTCCCCACCACCCATTTCGGCACACCCCTCACACGTTTCGTGGCCCCATAGGGAGCTCCACCGAAGGCCCCAGTGGCTGCGTTCGTATTCCTCCCCGCCGCCCATTTCGGCACACCCCTCACACGTTTCGTGGCCCCATAGGGAGCTCCACCGAAGGCCCCAGTGGCTGCGTTCGCATGCCTCCCCACCACACATTTCAGCACACCCCTCACACGTTTCGTGGCCCCATAGGGAGCTCCACCGAAGGCCCCAGTGGCTGCGTTCGCATGCCTCCCCACCACCCATCTCGGTACACCCCTCACACGTTTCGTGGCCCCATAGTGGGCTCCACCGAAGGCCCCAGTGGCTGCGTTCGCATGCCTCCCCACCGCCCATTTCGGCACATCCCTCACACGCTTCGTGGCCCCATAGGGAGCTCCACCGAAGGCCCCAAAGGCTGCGTTCGCATGCCTCCCCGCCATTCATTTCGGCACACCCCTCACACGTTTCGTGGCCCCACAGGGAGCTCCACCGAAGGCCCCAGTGGCTGCGTTCGCATGCCGCCCCCACACCAACTTCGGCACACCCCTCACACGTTTCGTGGCCCCATAAGGAGCTCCACCGAATGCCCCAGTGGCAACGTTCGCATGCCGCCCCCACACCCATTTCGGCACACCCCTCAAACGGTTCGTGGCCCCATAGGGAGATCCACCGAAGACGGTACTCACACCAGCATTACTCACAACTGCATATGGTTGGGTCCTTCGCCAGGCTAATTTCCGAACCATCCTGTGGTGTTGGGTCCTCGTTTTGAAGAGACGGTGCCCCGCGTTCCTCTCCTCCTCCTCCTCTTCCTCCTCCTCCTCCTCCTCGCCCTCCTCCCTCCAGGGTTCGCATGCCTCCCCACCGCCCATTTCGGCACACCCCTCACACGTTTCGTGGCCCCATAGGCAGCTCCACCGAAGGCCCCAGTGGCAGCGTTCGCATGCTTCCCCACCACCCATTTCGGCACACCCCTCACACGTTTCGTGGCCCCATAGGGAGCTCCACCGAAAGGCCACAGTGGCAGGGCTCGCATGCCTCCCCACCACCCATGTCGGCACACCCCTCACACGTTTCGTGGCCCCATAGGGAGCTCCACCGAAGGCCCCAGTGGCAGGGTCCGCATGCCTCCCCACCACCCATTTCGGCACACCCTTCACACGTTTCGTGGCCCCATAGGGAGCTCCACCGAAGGCCCCAGTGGCAGGGTTCGCATGCCTCCCACCACCCATGTCGGCACACCCCTCACACGCTTCGTGGCCCCATAGGGAGCTCCCACCGACGGCCTTAGTGGCAGGGTTTTCGCATGCCCCCTGACCACCCATTTCGTCAGGCACCCCTCACACGTTCGTGTCCCAGAGTGGAGCTCCACCGAGGCCCGCAGGGCAGGGTTCGCATGGCCCCGCGCCACCACCCATTTCGGCACAGCCACCCCTCACACGTTTCGTGGCACCAAGGTAAGCGCCACCGACGCCCCAGTGGCAGGGTTCGCATGCCTCCCCACCACCCATTTCGGCACACCCCCCTCACACGTTTCGTGCCCCATAGGGAGCTCACCGAGGTCCCAGTGGCAGGGTTCGCATGCCTCCCCACCGCCCATTTTTGGTTCGGCACACCCCTCACACGTTTCGTGGCCCCATATGGAGCTCCACCGAAGGCCCCAGTGGCAGGGTCCGCATGCCTCCCCACCACCCATCTCGGCACACCCCTCACACGTTTCGTGGCCCCATAGGGAGCTCCACCGAAGGCCCCAGTGGCAGGGTTCGCCTGCCTCCCCACCACCCATTTCGGCACACCCCTCACACGTTTCGTGGCCCCATAGGGAGCTCCACCGAAGGCCCCAGTGGCAGGGTTCGCATGCCTCCCCACCACCCATCTTGGCACACCCCTCACACGTTTCGTGGCCCCATAGGGAGCTCCACCGAAGGCCCCAATGGCAGGGTTCGCATGCCTCCCCACCACCCATTTCGGCACACCCCTCACACGTTTCGTGGCCCCATAGGGAGCTCCACCGAAGGCCCCAGTGGCAGGGTTCGCATGCCTCCCCACCACCCATTTTACCCACGCCATTTTTCGGCACACTCCCTCACCGTTTTCGTGGACCCCACAGGGGAAGCTCGCACCGAGGCCCCGGTGCAGTTCGCATTGCTGCTGGTTCCCACGCATTTCGGCCACCCCTCACACGTTCGTGGCACCATAGGGAGCTCCACCGAGAGGCCCCAGTGGCAGGGTTTCGCATGCCTCCCCACCACGCAATATTTCGGCACACCCCTCACACGGTTTCGTGGCTCCATAGGGAGCTCCACCAAAGCCCCAGTGGCATGGTTCGCATGCCTCCCCACACGCCCATTTCGGCACACCCCCCAACAAACTTTTCGTGGCCCCACAGGGAAGCTCCACCGAAGGCCCCAGTGCTGCTGGCCGCATGCGTCCCGCACGACCATTCGGCGCACCCCTCACACGTTTCGTGGCCCCATAGGGAGCTCACCGAAGGCCCCAGTGCCATGCGTCCCCACATCCCATTCGGCACACCCCTCACACGTTTCGTGGCCCCATAGGGAGCTCCACCGAAGGCCCCAGTGGCAGGGTTCGCATGCCTCGCACTCCACCGAAGGCCCCGTGGCATTGCGCCCCACCCATTTCGGCACACCCCTCGTGGCCCCATAGGGTGCTCCACCGAAGGCCCCAGTGGCAGGGTTCGCATGCCTCCCCACCACCCATTTCGGCACACCCCTCACACGTTTCGTGGCCCCATAGGGAGCTCCACCGAAGGCCCCAGTGGCGCGGTGCCTATGAGAAGAGGGGCCTCGTTTGCGTGCCCCCTCCTTCGTCTCATATCCGTGCGGTACTCGCAGCTGCATATGTTTGGGTCCTTCGCCAGGCTAATTCGACGATTTTTTATTTATCGTTCAAAATCTGCCTGTAGGGGAACATGCGGTCCCGGGCTCCGGGCCCACGGGCCCCCCCCCTCCCCACCCAGATGGTATGGTCCCAGGATTCTTCGGCCCCCTCCCCCCCCAGATGGTATGGTCCCAGAGACGACGACGACGACGACGACGACGACGACGACGACGACGACGACGACGACGACGACGACGACGACGACGACGACGACGACGACGACGACGACGACGACGACGACGACGACGACGACGACGACGACGACGACGACGACGACGACGACGACGACGACGACGACGACGACGACGACGACGACGACGACGACGACGACGACGCGACGACGACGACGACGACGCGGCGGCGGCGGCGGCGGCGGCGACGACGACGAAGACGACGACGACGGCGGCGACGACGACGACGACGGCGGCGGCGGCGGCGGCGGCGGCAACGACGACGACGACGACGACGACGACGACGACGACGACGACGGCGGCGCCGCCAACGAGAGACCGCCGGGCGGCGAGTTGGACGGGCAGGACATGGGCGCCAGCGACTGCCGCCCTGCTGGCGTCTACCTGCCCAGGTGGCGCAACGGGGTGCCCGCGGCCTCAGACTTCGCCGTCACTTGTGGGCTGCGCGCCGACATCCTCCCCGCGTCCGCCGCGCCGAAAGCGCGGCCGCGGAGCCCTGCGAGGAG